ATCATATTTCCAACACAAAATCAAGGCACTAACCTTGAGATGCCAAACATCCTTTGGTTTTTCTAAGTTGAATAGATTCGTTCATTCATTCATTCATTCATCCATCCATCCATCCATTCATTCATTCATTCATTCTTATATATATCCTCATCTTTCTGTTGATGGTTAATTGCATATGACTATAAAATATTAAGCCATGTGAGTACAGTCTAACACAAGGCTGCATTGGAAACACAAACCTTATTCCACCCAAGCACATCTTTAATATACTCCCTAATACAATTATATTCCCAATACAATGGATCCTGTTTAGGGAGCAATTACTTTGAATGTTATGAAATTCATCCACACAGACTAACTCGGATGAGTACATTATACGAATACATTATACGGTGGCAACCGCAAACTTCCTTTGAATATCATCTCTCTTAAACAGGCAATGGTTACCATAGTGAATGAGTTATTCAATGAATAAATTCAATAACATGTCTTCTATCCCATGCAAATAATTCCACAATATCGCTATGAGCGAGAAAACACTGAAACAAAGTCTGTACTTTTCAAGTAGATGCATTATTCATCTTTGCTTCTGTCTGCTTTTTACCTCTGTTTCTCTGTCCCTGTCTTTGCACATGGAATATTTTGTATTCTGAAACTCATTAAACTTCTCATATTGGGAGGGACTATGTTTTCCTAATATGAATTTTAACTAACCACAGATTGGTGTAGGGACTGGTTCACAATGTAACATTAACTAAAGGGCATTCAAATAGGGAACCATAATAATTTTTCATAGCCAGAAATAACAGTTGCAATTCTTCCTTCTCTTTGCAGAAGTACAAGATGGTTTCTAAAATTTGTGAGCAAATGTATTGAGCAAGCACATCAGAATATGTTTCTGTCCAGCTAGTGTTAATGGATAAAAGAGATCAGCCACCCAGCACGGCAATACAGTAGAGCAATCACAATTAAGAAGTGGGATAATTTTCTAGATAGGAAATTAGCCATCTAAACCTTAAGCAAATGTTGCCAAAAGACAGTGAAAATATATTGGTTCAGGTCCAAGGGACAGTGAACCAAGTTCCATTTGCACAATGAAGCATTCTTGCCTCTATTCTCCATTCCCAGTTTTTTATGCAAAAAAAAAAAAAGATCTTTATTGTCAGGGCCTTCAGGAAGGACACAGGGAGTTAATCCTAAGAATGGGGAGAGACTGGCAGAGATCAAGTACCACTCCTTACACAAATGGAAGCTCTTTGGGATTCCTAGCGATTGTTGCTTTATATTCCAAATCTGGTTGAAGAACCTAAAGTGTGTTGATGTTATCTCTCATTTTTGAGCACAAGATTATAATTGTAAAAGCCTGAAAAGCCATTAGGTTAGCCATTGTTTTTCCCTGGGATGCTTGAAGCACAGGGAAAATGTGGTCTGCATAGTGAAAGAAAGCATTTCAGAGACAGAACATTAGGAAGAAAAACTCACTTGCCTTTCAGGGCTGTTGAAATGAAAAAGCAACATAAAACAAACAATTTGCAAGACAGAATCAAAATTGATCTTATTCACAACAACCTGCACTTTCAGATATGATTTAAACAGAGGAGGTACCACTAGAAATTGTAGGTATATATAACATGATGTCTTAAGATAAAACTGTTAGGCAGGACTCATAAAGGAAGTGCACTTATTGAAAAATATACATATTTTTATAAAAATATACATTTTCTTCCCCTTATATTAAAATCAGCAATATATGAAAAGTAAATTTGACAGTAACAAATTTCAAGTGTGTTTCAAATTTATGCAGTTAAGGAAGTAGCTCTATAGTTGATGATTCTATAATTAATGCTGATTATAAAATCAAAAGCATTTGGCCAGTAAGTATGACTTCAACACACACATTCTTTCTAACAAGAGGGATAATGTGGAAATATCCAATGAATGGTAATGTTATAGCAATTTTCAAAAACAACATATGTTTTTCCATATTCTGTTCCCCTAAATGTTAACTTCTAGGTGTTTTTTTTTTCCTCTTAGCAATTTTAACTATCTGGAAAATGTAAAAAATATCCTGCAGCTTTTAATACTGTGGGAAAATGTCTGACATTTTCCCCAACAATTCTCAAAACATTTAAAGATGGAAAGAGAAGTTACATTGACTGACAGTGAGCTCAATCTAACCTAACCTGCCAAGAAACCTTCACAGAACATGGTGGAGGAAAGCAATTATTCTACGTTCAAATAATATATTAATATAACAAAGCCTCTGGCTTATTAGTTATCAGACACATTTAGAGTTTTTGTAGTATACTGTCAAATTTCCCTTGAGATGTGTGTTTCCTAGGTTCATAAATGCATGGTATTCATCTTAAATCATTCTCTGAGGCAAATAGTATTTTCCTCTCTTTTTACTAAAACATAAATTAGTTGCAAATTAATCAGGCTAACAAAAGAATATGAAAAGTTAGGTTAGCATGGGATAATATTTACATAATCAAATCACAAACCAGTATCTGTACGCAAGTCTCGAAATGCTTCCCTGATTGACCTACACTACAATGTCATAAAGGGAAACTGAGCATTCAACTACCTGAAAGAGCTTCTGACAAGTTCGCTTTTACATTCTCCAGATCTAATATTTATTTGATGAGTTATTAACCATGTTTGAAAGAAAAAGATAATCTGGCATGACACCAACCTCTCAAATTGTAAAATATTCTTATGTGAAATTCATATAAACCCAAGGTACATAAATACATTTAAAATCATATTCAAAAATATCTGGAGTCTCTATGCAGTATCTTTTACAATTTTCTGTCACTTTCCAGAGGTCTGGTATGTAACAACACACAAATATATAAGCATATATGGCTGTCCAACCTGAACAATGCAACTGATACGGCAATACTTTAAAAAGGCATGTGTTCCAGTAAAGGTCTGAATGAATCAAACACACACATACACGCACACACAGCACCTCCCCTTGAAACAGCTTCATAGAGCAACATGGCCCTTCATTTCTAGGAATGAAGTGATAATTTTACTTCACCTCACTCTGCTTCAGAGTTCTTCTCAGCCTTCTCTTACAAAGTTCACACTACAGGAAAAAGGCTAAGAGGACTCTTCTCCCACACTACTTTCCAGACTGTCCCAAGGCTATCTTAGTCAAACACTGTAGGATTGCCCACAATGCCCTAAAGGCAATCTACTGGAAGTATGCTCAGTCATTTTTTTTTTTTTTTTTACACAA